CAAGGAATAGGTCAAGATTAATGCAAAACTTACCAGCCTTCGAACAGAGAGCTGATGAACTGATCTTTAGTAATTAACAGACATTGCAAAAAAATAAGGAAGAAAGTGAGATACAGGATGCTGAGGTAGAAATGTATAAAACTGTCACCATCGTCGAACACACTGATATGGTGGAATTCGCAAATGTCATAATATAAATGCCTCGGAACAGAAATTGTTCATTCGTCACCGACAAGACGTTTTTTGGTTCAACACCAGAGAACTCTCCTATCGTCATGCTTCAATTCTGAGACAGTAGCCAGTTATCACGTTCGCGCATTCTCTTCACTTGCGAACAAGACGAGCACAAAAAGACAGAGCACTCGATGGGTAGCTACCACGTCTGGCTGGCCATCTCGCATGTCCTCAGGATTGCACCCAACCTTCTGTGCTCTTCAACCCTATGTGGACGCGCGGAAACCAAAGTACACGCCACTTTTATAGACGACGCTGCCAGTGCGATGAACTCACATAGCGGTTCACTCCAACATACTCAGATATAAGAAGGAAAAGTACAGAACAGAGGATGAATGCCGTTAGTGTTGTCGTGGAGTAGCGGAGAGTAAGTAGTTGGTGAAGAATGCAGTCAGAATTGTAAGAAAATTTTAAAACGAGTTGCTTGTCTTCGTTAATTCCAGATGAAATACTGCTCTTTCATCTACTTTCTGGTATGAAACGATTCCTCGCATTTTTCACTTAAGAGAAATGGTTATGTATAACAATCGTTAGTAAATAAAATTGGAGTTCAGAAGTTTAGCAGAGCACAAAGTGCTAAAAAAGTAGCACTCAATAATAACCCAGAGAACTGGTTCATTACCGATATTCTTAAATTCCCACCCCATTCACAGCCTCACGCTACGTATGCTAAGCCGATAATTTTCACACTTGACGTTATACTTTGCACTAACGAATTACATAGTGCTTATCAATTCTACCATTGTGAACAAACCAAAAGAGCTTAACTAATGACTATAACGGTTAATTTCATCTTTGATAGATGACTTTCTGAGAGAATAAGTGTTTCAAGTGCTAAGAGATTTCAGAAAGCAATAAAGTTCGGTTCAAGCGTAAAGAGACAATAGTTCAGATACTCGAGATCTATGCTACAACCGGATGATAGTAAGAAAATCTCGTCGGTTTTCGATGTTACGGTAAACGGCATGATTTACCATTTTTTTGCTTTAGATGTGCGAAAGCAGACGTTGACGGAGGAGCTCACAAGTGGTCAAGCGATTTCGAAAACCACCTTATTCACTACTATTAACACATTCATGAAAACGTGTATTGATTTCATAGATGATGGCCAGGCGTGAGACAAGAAAAGCTACTTTCTGCACATCAAGATTTCCAGGAAAGAAAAAAACACGGTTTGCTCAGGCAGGTTTGTACGTCTTTATGAGCCGCTCTTTTCGCTGCAAAAACTTATGCGTCATCGCATTCCTGAGTCAATAAGAATTAAGTGTCGCTGCGAATGTGTTGAACGAAATGGTTCTTCAAGAGCTGGGGAGGAGGAGTGGCATCGACCTGCTGGCGCTTGACTGCCATCTGCGTGACCGACGGTGCCGACCCTCCGGCGCCGTCCTCCTCGTCCTCCTCGGCTCGTCCTCCTCGCCCGATCCTCCTCGCCGTCCTCCCGGCCATCCTCCCCGACGAGGAGTGATTTTTGGCCGCTGCGCTCCGCCGGGCAGAAAAACTGCGGTCGGCGAAAAACTCAGAGCACACCACGTGTTCAACAGATGATGGAAAATGATTCGAACGAGTTTTCTCAAAATTCAATCGGTTTTGCGAAGGAAATCACGTCGGCAACAAATAATAACTGTGGCTACGGTGGTACTGTAAAACTTTGCTACACAACTGAACCTCTTAATTTAAACCAGGAAAAAATCTGAAGACATACTGCCAGACACATATATCTTCGTTAGCTGATGATGGCAGGAGAAATCTGAAGCAATCAATGACTGAGGGCTGGAGGAGATTTATTTTCACAGTGACATACTGCGAAGTTCTTGAAGCGCGTAACATGTAGAAGGGAAAGTACAAAAACATTATATTTAATTTAATAGTTCGTCTAGGAATTAACATGCTCGTCACCATACGGAATCGGTCAAGTGTAAAGTTCAAAGAACTTCCACACTAGTTTCTTTCTCTATTTAGTGAACAAATAATGGCCTCGGTAGCATAAGTTACATATTTCTGCAATGAGTCGAGAAAACGTGAAAATATTAAAGCGTCAAACAGGCCTTCACTACATAATAAAAGGGGTGTAATTAAAAATGCTGAGAGAAATTACTTGCAGAGCCACTCTGCAAGGTGAGAACGTGGTGAACGATGGGCGTACTGAAGAAGCCAGAAGACCAGCAAGGAGAAAAGCATTTCGAGCAGCTTCTTACAACCTGGTTCTGTTTCTGGTGGACCAACTAATAATCTCAGAGACGGAAACACTCCTAAGAAACTCACCGACTACTCACAAATGGAGATGGCAAGACAGTGGCCGGCTTCACTTTGGATTTCTTCTGAAGCTGTGTCTACAATTTCGAAGAGCACTTTCACTGGCGAAAAGCAACACACTACTGACGACTATGGCGGGTGCAGTGAGAACTGCCAGCCCACGTGTCTCATGCAACATTTGTTCGTTCGCACAGAGCTTCGCTCCTCCATTGCCTTGTCATATTGCCCAACCCCTCCATAAACAGCGCTTCATTCTCTAATCACGAATGTCCCTTCGGAAAGGTTCTTCGGCGAGGAAATCGATCAGTGACTTGATATCCTGGAAGGATACCATGCCGTCAGGCAATCAAGAACATCGTGGTCTGTTAAAGTATCCTAGAGATATTGAGCACTTGAGTGGCTCTCCGCTACCGCTATACTCAGTAATGAATGTAATATCAGATGCCTTGACTAGCTGTCGTTTAATTCACGAAGTTTACAAATTTTCCCTACGTAAACCAAAAAAGTCCAGCATATCAATCCTAGATTTCAATACCTTTTCTTAGTAATAAAAAGTGCCCAAGCGTTTAATCGCGACGGAGAAAGGAAACGTTGTATGGGTTCCAATGAGTGTGTTTGATGTGTTCGTCATGGGACCCAACATTATGAAATATGAAACACTCAAAGCGGTGAGTAAATCTTGGATCATGGTTTCTTCAGTGTTCATCAAAAAGTATTAATCAGAATGCCATCAAGTTTCGCTCATCAGATCCCGCCAATCGCAACATTCTCGTATCTTCATTACTTCTACTTTCTTTTAAATTAAAGTTTCTTAATGTTAACATTCTGTTTTCTGCCTACTATTATTCTTCACAGCAGGGCATGATGTGAGATACAACCACAACGATACTGAGATATTCGCAAAACTTGGACTCCGGACCAGACCGAACCACGATTACCTTTTCCGGGAGCTTGCGTATTACACGCTGCACCACCGAGGGCCTCGCTCTGTGTTTCTCTCAGCTAGTTTTCTACCTAATGCTGCCATAAATTCGTAATTTCAATAATTAGTTTAAAGTTCCTTATTTCTTCCTTCCACTCTCCTAGCGCTAAGAACCATATAGAGCTAAAACAAACGGAAAAGCTACCAGGAAATGAAAAATATGGATTAACTTCTATCTTCTACGCTGGATGCAATAAGAAGATTAGCGGACTTTAAATTTCTAAAGCAGGAGGAACACGAGCAATATGGAGAAAGTAATGGACAGGCGTGCAAATGAATGCGTCTCCAGCTTCTGAATCATTCTGAGTTTTCTTCACGTGTCATACGAGATAATACATTGTGTCGGAAAAAGCATTTGTCATGAAATGAAATATCTGTCCAATTAGACGGCATTGTTAATAGATGACAAGTGCAGAAGAAGAAGGAGAAGCAAATACCTATTGCCTTATTCTGCCTTTTCTGTCGGATATTCAGTTTAGGGAGTTCATCTACTGGAAACCCCTTCACCAGTGTGTTTCAATATTTCCCGTAGGAAGACGGAAAGAAATCATCTCGTTCACAGTTTTCTCTCCCTTATCGCTCATTTTTCCTAGTGTCACGTTCTCTGCTCAACCTACACATCTGAGAACAGTCCGTATACCTATTACTGTCTGCTTATATAAAGTTTGTTTTCTCCTTCTCTCCTGCTTCCTGATTCCACCTCTATATATTCACTGTTCTTTTTCTTTAATTGGCAACACTTTTGCGCCGAAACAGATGCGTCTGGCATCGGCGCAGCGAAACAAACTTGAACAACATCGATCAAATGAAGGTTTCGGAGGCGAATTCAAATCCAGAAGAACACTTAGAAAACGACCTTCTTGTTACTGTTTACTTCACTTCACTTCTTCATCGCCACCAGTGGAGCAAAATGACCTCTTAGTAGAGTTGCATTAAGTAGTAAACAGAAAGTGCTACATTATAAAGCCTGGATGGCCTCTCCTTAGTGCAGCTACTATTGAAGATTGCTTGTGAATTGTGACTCAGCTATTCTAATGTCTATTACATACCAAGTGAATATGCAAATTCATTCATGACTCCGTTCCTCTACGTTCTGAGAATCGGCTTCCCATTATATAAAGTTGTACAAATTTAACGTTAGGATGCCATCAGGAAATCGCTCTTACAAGTTTACACAAGGACTCAAAATGTGATAACAATATGATATGCCGCAAAAATTTGAAAGGAACTAGGTTGGTGAAGAGATCCTCATAGCGGTCGTTCAAAATGCTTATCTCCACTAACCATACTTCATTCATTCTAGAATATTTACCGAAACTCATGAATTGTAGATAGAACGAAGAATATCGGGAAGGAAAAAAAGAACAACAAATGTACCCGCTAGCTACACTTCCGATTGTGTCCAACGATGGAGCGAAGAGACTTTGACGTGATGTGGCCTGTTGGCTGCTGTATTGAGTTGAACCAGCAAATGAAGCCGATCTAACTTTCTGATGCTTTTCCAAGTCGAAGAAATCGTCGTATTCATCACCTATTCAAAGACAGACATTTTCGCAATAGTGTCGGTGAAAACAAACAATAATATAATATTAAACATCCTTAACTCACCATCGGGGATTTCCATTTTCAGGTCTAAGTCACTGCGGTGAGCGGGACATTCTGAAGGCAGTGAATTGAGCGAGGTGGAGACCGAGAACAGCGAGTCGGACGATGGTGACGTCGCGTTCAGCAACGGATACGGTGAGCGATGAGTCGCGCTCGTTGGCATCAACGCCGACGACGAACCCGAGCCGAGGTGTGTACTAGCTGCAGGACCGTGCTGCTGAACCGGAATGAAAGCTAGCGGCTGGTTGAATGCGGCCAGTTGTTGCTGCAGCGACCCTGGCGTCAGACATTGGGTTTGCGAGAGTTCGTTCGCCATTACACCCTGAAATAAAGGGTCCATATGAACCTTTCTTATGATAATTAACAAAAGATAACACTATCAATTTCGGTACTGAAGATCGAGTTTGATAAAGTCAACTGTAGTAAAGATTACAGCTACACTGTAATCCCCGTGGTGTCAAGGCGATAAGTACTGATCAGAGTAACACGCCTACAGGTCATCTTTATTCGCCGATCAATTCCTATCCGTTGCACAATAGGCGCGCTGTCACCGCATCCGTGGTTTACTAAAACGGCTAGCAGTGTTGTTAATATTCTATCGCTTTCTTTCCTGCACAAAATCACCTTTTTCATAAAGTGACGATGATAAAAAGTGTATTATTTATTCCCATGGAAAGACATTTGCTGGTTTCGGTGACAGTTAAGGAACGGCGACGTTTCTTCAGTTGATCAAGTTGTAGAGCGACGCCCAGCAAAGAACATACGAGGAACTAATGTGGTATTAAAAGTAACAGTCGTTTAAGTCATTCCTGACCCGGAACCGTTGGCATGATATCATATTTCCAGCTTCTAAAGCAGTAATTACGAACAACTGCAGTAATTCCCAAAAGAATTGTCAACGAGGAGAGATATTTGCTTCCTGACCAAATACTCCACCTGCATGCTGTATTGGATTGATATCTTACTTAGATATTTGGACGACCTGTCTCTAATAGTTGTGCAGGCGCCAGCACAATCTCCATTTTTTCTTTGAAGACATGCCGGTTGAGTTATTGTGGTTCCCTGGGATCCTGAAGTCAGCTTGGCCAAGGTCTGCCGCGGATCGTCACCACCACAAGAAGTTGCAGCCCTTGTGGATCAGAAAATTTGCCACTATGCGACTAGATTGTTACCACGACGGTGGTCGTTCCTGGTAGTAGTTTACTCTTAGCTAGGCTACCTGATGGAAAACCTAGAGGCTGACAGGTCTACGGATACGGATGCTTACTGTTTTGCGGATGGGTTCCTGCACTCGATTAAAAATCTACTATCAAGTGCCCAAGAGATACATGGGTGACAGTTCTTGATTGAACTGCTACGCAAAAACTCGAAACTGAATGCAACAACAACATCAATTATTGCTCTGAGCCGTCTTCACACGCAACTGCTTCTTACATTCGGTAACGGATAAAAGATAAAAGGTTCAGCAATGACCAATTCCCGAGAGATGCGCCATGCGTTAGACTTCACTAAAGCCTGCATAGGTGATAGAACTCCTGGTCGTTCTATTCAATTACTTGCGATGGTCTCCCGATGTACCAGATCTGTGTTGCAGTCCTTGTAGACGGGTCTGACACGTACCAGTTTTCCGACTACGTACAGAAGTAAATCTCGGTGTGCTCGCACCGAAGGATCAAGCCACACTATGAGCTGAGATAAGATTGGTGGTTTGGTATAATAAGATGACGCACATCTAGAATTTGTATCGGTGATTCTTACTGAAGCTATTCATAGAATATTTATCGGCTATTAGACTGCAATGAATGCGGTCGATAAAACTATCCGGGATATAAACTGAACGAAAGAGAAAATTATCAGGACTGCGGAAAAAACAATCATACAGTTGCGTACTCGCTAATGGTCATTTCTATCGTCTTCTTTTTTGGTATCGGAGTGGTCAAGCATTGATGGAAGACGTCAACCAAAAGCTCCAAATAGTTCATGTTACCCCAAGATTTCTATGGAATTTACTTGCACTTTGCCTTAATTCGGCATTATTTATGCACGTTGAGTTCTGCCTACGAATGAAACCAGCATAAGCTTAGTATTATTGAGTATTTTAACCATTATTCACCAGCTGGACATCTGCTACTTAACCTTTTTATCAACCACATGCGTTCCATTTTTATCTGGTGAAAGCACTAGAATTTATGATTGAAATACTGCACTCAGCGCTATTTTATATCATGTGGACGAGAAGGTACTAACAGCTGTCGAACAGTGGTGTATAACATGCGTTTCATGGCACGGCAATTTCATTTACGGCGGGATATTCGATATCTCAGTCCGGAAGTCAAGACAGTGACAAACCTATGCCAGGAGTCAACGCGAGTTTGGAAGAAAACTAATAGCAAGGTTGTAAACGTAACACTGATTCCCAAAGGTTGTGTATACTGTGCAAAACCCAGCAATTCCTCCAGTCGATTTTTGCGTGTAGGTTCGGTTGCTGCTTCAAGATTTTTCTCTCGTGATGATGCAGAGAGTGAGCCCTTTGCAGGTAGGTTCGGTACCGATTTACCAACGCCGGACGGATGGCAGGTTCGATGAGCCCGGTGCCTAGTGTGGGGTCGAACCATTACAATGCTCGTGTTGATCGGCATCACTACCGCTTCACTGTTCGTCCTTCACTGAGAAAACAACATCCACGAAATGCTCCCATTTTTAAAGCAAAGAATACCTTCTTTTCTAGAAAGACAAGGGCTTCATTTATGCGCGTCTTCTGAAGTGGGAAAAGTTGCTGGGGGTTGAATACGCTGTTAATGAAGTCTACAGTTCTTTAAAACATGACTACTACTCTCCTAGTCCTAATATTTGAACGGACAAAAGACGGATCATTGGTGTTCGGGGAAGCTTTTCAGGAAATTTTGTGGATTTCGCCATACACAGGAAGCGACTCAATGGCTTAAGCTTCGAAGCCGTTGAAGCCTTCTTATTAGAAGAAATATGTATCGAAGACAATCCGTAACTAAAATTCGAAGTACGCTTTACTCCTAGACCCTTGAAGATCTTAATTGGCTTTGTAACATAAATGGGATTAAAAAATGGAGCATTTCGTTCCTACCGACTGGTTTATCTTGCAAAACATCGCATGCCTTCTTACACTAATAATAAAGTCCGACAGTAGTACATCAGTTCGCTGTAGGTTTTTCAAGATCTCGTTTCTGTTTCTTTTATTAAGATAATTGATTAATGCAAAGTGCACTCTACCTACAAAAAGAGAAACCTGACGCTTGAACGGTTTTTTCATTCACAAGTGCTCTCATACAATGAAAAAGATCAAGTGATTGCACACCTGAAGAATATTTGCACAATTCAGCATTGTTTTGCACATAACACTCTTTTTTACAATTGTACCCTCCTAACCGTTTAGCGCCTCATATGGCTGGGAGGCGTACCTGCTGCCAAGCTGCAATGTACAGCGGGGATTCATTCCCCTGACAGGGTCTCCCAATCTTATTAGGAATCCGACGTTTCCATCAGGAAGCCTAGCTAAGAGTAAACCAATACCAGCATCCACCACCGTCCTGGTATCGAAGTCGCATGGCGGCAAATCCCCTCTGATCCACAACGGCTACGACTGCCTGTGGTTATCAAGACCTCAGGCAGACATTGGCCATGCCAACCTCGAGATTCCAGAGAACCACAACGGCTTAACGAGCAAATCTCCGAAAAATGGAGATTACGTTGGGCCCACACAACCAGTGAGGATGGGCCGTTCAAGTATCAAGTAGGTAAGTATTACAACTGTAAGAATTGTCTGAGGCGCTCAGTTATTCCGTTACAAAGCCAATTAATGTTGTATAATGTCAGAGGAGCATGCAACCCATGTTAGAGGTGCCTTGGCACAGATAGTTCGCTTCCATTCCGCACCCCGCGTTAACCTAACCTTCCATCTCTCCGAGGTAGCGCAGTTGCTGCCAAACTTACTTAGGAGGATGTCAAAACTGGTTTGGTGTAGCAGTAGACCACCGCAAGTCTTTGTATAGGCTAGATATGCATTCAATCACCTTTAACGATATCTAATGAAAACGAATTCATAGCGCATCCCTCAGGGATTGATCAATGTCGAAAGTTTTATCTTTTATACTTTAATGGCTATCAATCAACACCAAAATTTGAGACTGCAGTAACTCAAAACTTTCGAGAATTTGAACTTTTCGATCGAGAATAGATGGAATTTGAGGTAAAATACCGACTGATGTCCACAAAAAAGCCTGGTAAGCGAGTGTAATGAAGAGCACAAAGCACCAATGAGTACTATTTAACACTCTTGCCCTACAACGTAATCGATGTCAAACTTAGTTCTTAGCTAACATGAGAGGGTTAAATTCACTTATGAACCATCGAATGGATAACTTCGTTGAATATTTGAGTCTAAATTTAGGGCTGGTGTAACATCGGGAAGAAAATGTAATCACTTTAAAGTTTTTTTGAGAAGACCATGCGTTGTTAATCAAATTCGGCCTTTCGCTGGTCGCATTTGTATAAGTTGTCGTTTTCATCGGCACATTCAGTTTAAGAGTAAAGTTCATAACATCAATCAACCTGGCAAATATCTATCGCAAAGCTGGGAAGCATTTCTGGTCCGTAATGGCCGGCGACAGTGAATAGTAATAGCAAGGAATAGAATGGTAGGTTATTACAGGACGTCTACTATGTCAGATGGTACCATGATCAATCCGAAGGGATCAAGTTTCGGATGTAGCCAAACTTCATTGGAAATGGATCGAAACGACACGTCCACAATGTTTCACAGAGACTTCTAATGTTAAAATATTAAAAAAAATTCTCTGGGAAGTCTTCTTTCCCAAAATAGTGGACGCCGAATTGTATACAATAGCATTGATAGTGGTCTACAGCAATGGGTCGGAGCTATGCCGACTAAATGAAGGAATCCTTACATCTGCGGACCAAGCTCGTCACTCTATGTGGATGAGTGTCGATTCAAGCAAGATCCTATAGCTAAATCCTGCCATCATAACCTCTGTACCTTTTTCTACCGTCCTCCGGAAAATTGCAACTTGCGGCGGATTTGCTTGTTGAACACGGCAGCTCATGAAAACTGTTATATTCCTAGTCATGTTTTGAGTACTTGTGCGAAAGAACAACCAATAAAGCAAACTGGATTCTCGAACGGATGCTGCAGCAGGATAGTATCCATGTCGCGGCTAAGACAACAAGTCTGCAAGGGAAATCGTATTCCTCACGAATTACTATTTTTTTATTTTACTTTTTACAGGCGATCTGTCCTTCCATTTACTGCGCGGATCCCAAAAC